CAAGAAAAAAACTACCAAAAAAAAAAAAAAAAAAAATTGTCATCTACCAATCAGTCAGTCCATGTGAAATCTTGTAAAACTTCTACGGAAAAATCAAGTTGTATAACATTACTGTATCATTTAAGAAAATATAGAAAAAGACAAGGAGTCATGGTGTAGGCTCAGTGGTGGAGCCACATGGGATATAGTCGCCAATCGCTTCCGTAACATTTTCAATTTTTCTCGATTTGTATTGAATTTATACCAAAAAAAGACATACACATAATCGATCCAACCCTCAATTTTTGGCTACAAATCATGATTTCTCATAAATATATAGCATCAAAGGATTTCAACTAGTTCACTTGATAATATTAATTTTTCAAAATAGAACTCTAAATCTTACTGTAAACGGAATTTTTTTTTTCACCAATTTTGAATTTCAAACTGAAATTATTAAAACGTCTAGCAATTGGTATTTGATTTGGTTCTGATTTGGTAGTAAATTGATGAAGTATATCATTATTTATTTCCAGATTAACATAAACCTCTCTCTCTCTCTCTCACACACACACACAAATATGCAGGCGATTATTTTTTAACATTTTATTTATAATCTTATTTTAATCAGAAATATCAAAATGAAAAACGTTGTTTGTTGTTTATATGCTCATTAGAACAAATCATAAAAATCAGATACTGTTTGTTGTTTCGTCAAAATTAAAAGTCTGGTTCCAGATCGAAAGGGTCGTTCATTAATACAATTTCCAGGAAAAAAATAAAATGAAAAAATAACTCCACAAAATTCAGACGGATGTTAGTTTGATCGTGAGGGTACCAAGGCCGTTACCAAATTCATCAATTTAGGGTTTCTGTATTTATGATTCAAATATGTAAAACAGAAGGCTAGTAATTAATCTACGAAATTCCTGTTTCTCTTCAAAAGAAAAGAAAATATTTTTACCATATTTCAATTTAAGAATTGAGAAGAAACAGACTGGATGGTGATGAGGAGCAATTTGTCCGATTGCCTCAATGGGGGAGAAGGAGCTTCTCGAGAGTTTGGCGTCTTATAAAAGGTCTTATGAGGGTTGGTTCCTGGTAGGGGTAGGAAAATCGCATCTCTTGTTTAATGCAGCTTCTATGTTGAAGACTTTTAATCATCTATTATTAATTTATTATTATTACTAACCCACTTTAAATAGTTTATTTAGATCAAGTCCAAAAAACTCTCTATATATTCCACAATTTAAAGAGTAAAAACATTTAAGTATTTCAATGAGTTCTTCATATTTAACTTGGCATTAGATTTGTGTACTTCATCCATTATATTAATCAGTATATTTTTATTTTTTTTTTGAAATTTTAATTCAAATTTTACGTGCTTGTAAATCAAGTGTTAGTACTTAGCATTGCAATTATAATTTACAATTCAGTCCCACTTACACTGTTGTTATCAGTTGTCATCTTTTTATGTGTAAAATAAATTATAAAGTTCTTTCTCACAAGAAGGTTACATGTAATATGTTATTCCTTTTTCTCCCTCTGTGCAATACATTATGGAGCGCGAGAACTTGTCGTGCAATCTGACATTGTTTCAGATTATGCAATGCACTTTTTTGTGCATACCGCAATAGTACATGTACTTTCTTTTATCATCTCTTGTTTCTATATTGGTTTTATGTTGTGGTTATCAGTTCATAGAAAATGGCTTATGGTGATGATATTCAACCCCTTGTTTGTCACAATGGAACTGGAATGGTGAAGGTTCGTAAACATTTTTAAATTCTCTAGCCTTCTATATTCAATTTATTATGTAATTAATTTCAAGGGACTTGTTTAATGTTACTCCTGCAGGCTGGTTTTGCCAGTGATGATGCTCTTGCAGATTCTTGATAAACCTTTCTCTATTTCCATTGCCAAAATCCAACAATATGCTTAGATTGCCATGGAGGTATTCATTTAAATTTGTTTTCTTTCTCGACAATAGGTGTTGTTTAAATGCTGTTTTATCATCTCTCGTTGTAGCACAAGGCAGTTGGTATCCCTTTTGAGAATTATACGAGTATAATATTGATTTGGCTGTAATAGGCATCGATAATGGATGGAGTGTGCTTGTGGTTCCTTTTGATATCAATGAATCTATATAGTGCTTATGCTTGTGAGTGTAGGGAATGAAATACCCGATGTCCTGCAACCTTTATTGATGCTTTCATGTACTCGGTGCAACTTCTCTTTGCTGCCAGTAGAAGTTAGTTTTGTGGATCAAATGGAGTTTCCAAAAAAGAATTTTATATAGCTAACCCCAAAGTTATTTGGAACAAAATTTAGTATGTTGTTTACATGAAGCTTCTCATATAATCCCCAACAAACAAATATCTTTATTTTTATAGATACTTCTTGAGCAAGTGTTTCTTACTAAACAAGTGGTATATTGAGAGGAAATGTAGTGGTTACAGAAAAATAAAATAAAATTGGAATTTTGAAGGCATTATAAGGGAAGTGAAATTACTGTCGCAGTGAAATATTTATTATAAGGCTTATCAACAAAAAATTCATAAACAATTTTAAATATGTGAAATAATTATTATGTACAGGTGTGGACAAAATAAGGCCAGGATACAATATTATTTTAGGTTGTTGCCCTGTTAATGAAGATGGTTTTTGGGAGTGAAATTACTATAGCAGTTAAGTTGGTTTTGTTCTTGACATCCCTAAGGTTTTGCATTTTTAGCGGTACTAAAAATGTTATGCATTTTGTTTTTTGAAGTTGCGTGTTTGACAGAAGTAATGGCGATCATTTGTTTGTTTCTGGTTTTGTTTTGAACCTTACACTAGTTCTTGAATAATTTGTCTGCTGATTATAAATAGAGGATAAACGTAGCAAGTCACATTCTGGTTATTGCAGGATGTTGAAATTGATGAAGAAGTTGATGTTATAGTTTCAGAATGGATGGGTTACATGCTTCTCTATGAGGTGATAAATAGTATCTTACTTGCATTTATAAATCTAAGTTTGCATACCTATACAAATGTTTGTAATTTGGTTGTTAAAGATTTGGAGACCATGTTTCCATGTCTCCAATAGTGGAATTCTTCCATGGAAAATGATTTTTGATCCTTGTTTTGAAAGTTTAATCATACCACAAAGCTACAGCTGTGCTTGTCCGGAACCATGGAGTATACATATGGGTCGATTATTGGATTAGTGCTAAAACCTTTTATTGGATTTAAACCTCGTTTTATTTTTTTTAAACTTTCAGTTTAAACTTTAATGTATGAAGTTTTCAAGAAAATAATTATTAAAATAAAATCATAAATATTTTTTAATATTATAATTTATATTAGCGACGGAAACAGCGATGGAAATCCATTGGTAATCATCAACAGATATAATTTGTAGGTAATTTTGTCCCTAAAACAGCGAAGGCTTCTTTAATTGCTAAATCACCGACGACCTAGTAATTCGTCGCTATATTAGCGGCGAAAGTATTGCCGACGGATTTTCCAACTAATTTATTCCGTTTGTGAAAGTCGCTAGCGACAGAATTTAAGACTTCAGCAATGGAAAATTCCGTCTCAGAAGCCGCAGTTTTTGGTAGTGTGAGTCTTGCATTGTTGCTAGTGTCTATGCTAATAGGTCAATACTTCACTTGATGCTGGTCTCAGATAAGGTGGGAGTTTTCTTTTATTGTTCCTTTTTTTATCATCGAATAATACTCTAAGCTCTTTTTCTTTTACATCCCATTGTAGGTAAAGGCAAAGGCTGAGGCAGGAGGCCATTGAGAAGGTGATAGAAATAGCTGCCACTGTGCACCATTTATTTGAGAAGGTGAAGGCTCGTTTGGAAGAAGCTGAAGCGAAGTGGAATGATGAGAAATCTGCTTATATCATAATGCTAGGAGCTCGTTTCAGTGCATATTGTATATGTTGTTGCTCAAAGGGTAAAGTGGAAATTCAACTTCAAATCTAATTGTACTTAACGAATAGATTGGCATCTTATCATCATTGTATATAGTAGTACCTCAGCTTTTTTAATTTTATTATTCTTCTCTTTTTAGTGCCACGAGATTTCACAATTGTTTGATAATTACTGACATTTCGATCAGGGAAACAAACCAACTAGCAACAGCCAGTTCTACTCCAACCGCAGAACTTTATCCCATTTCGCACACTTTGCCAAGATATAAAATGCTTGGAAGTTTTACAGGATCCAACTAGTTAAGGTAATTTCAGTGTTGATGGTACAAACTCGATGCAGTTGGAATAGAAATCTATCGCCATGAATGTTTATTGCATTAGAAAGCCTTTGAAAAAGGGCCTACCTGTTCGCCGCCATTTATTCCTTCACTATCCAGAAGATGAAGACGTGCATACATTAAAATATCAGCAATTTCTAGTAGGCACAGTGAACCTAGCAGTGCATGTTCTAGATAAAGGAAAGGAAATGGTTAGGGCCTATTTTCCAGGAAAAAACTGTTCTCGGCAGCATTTTTGGACGGGAAAACTATATTCCAAACGAGGTTTCAAGGCTTGGGTGGAACCGCGGAAGCTCCAATCGGATAAGTTGGAGACACCTTTCCGAAAAATCTCAGAGAATACAGTGTCCTATAAAGAAGTTGTAAACGAATGGATGCTGTAGAATGTTTTTGATTTGTTAACAAAGTGATGTACAGTTTCTCTACATTTCTCATATTCTACCAGCCATTTGTTAATTTTCATGGACAAAAAACCAGAATGATATGACAATCATATATATTCGAATAATTCACATAATCATATGCCCAGGGGCGGAGCCCCATTAGGCCTAGTGCGGGCAGATGCCCGCACTGAACTTTTGGGCTCCAATAGGCCCAAATTTTTTTTTTGTTTGGGTAAAGCCTGTTTAAATAAAAGGGCCCAATTTCCCGACCCGACTTCTTGAATCAGTCCATGGGCCGTTTAGTGACCCGACCCGAACCGACCCGACTTCTTGAATCAATTATAACCCGTTCAATTCATGTTTCCAATTTCCAAACCCTTGCAATTATAACCCATCTCTCCTCTCTGTTCTCAACCGGTGCCATCGCCGCTTCTCGCCAGTCGGCAGTTGGCAGTCGCCAGTCGCTACTCCAACTCGCAGGCGACGCCGACTCAACTTCCACTCTTCCAGTCCACCGCCAGGTCCACCACTACTGCGAGCGTCTGCCACTACTTCTGCGGCTCTGCCGAGTTCCGACCGAAGCTGGAAGTTGCCCAACGAAGAACTAAGAAGGTGATTGAAAGTTACCTTGCTTACCTAATGTATATTTCAGTGAAGATGGAGTGTGGAAAATTCTGAAAATTGAAATTCTGAATGACTGAATCATGTCTCTCCTCTCGCCTCTCGGGTTCTGCAGTCTGCACTACTTAATTTAATAAATTTATGAATGTTAGTGGTGTTAGTGTGTAATGTGTTACTGGACTACTGGTTAATTATTGAATATTGATGGTTCTCATTTCTCAACTCTCAATCTCATGGGTTTATATAAATTATATTTGATATTTCTATTGTGGAATTGGAATTTAGAAATGCTGTTAGCCTGGCTGTTACTCTGTTGTAGAGAAATTGATTAAGTTCATCTTTCTCAGCCCATCAAGGAGATTGCCCTGGCTATTTCTCTCCTGGTTTTTGGCGCGCTCGGAATCTTTCTTTTAGTTTCTTGGAATCTTGGTGCCATTATGGCCGTCAATAATGTCGGCAGTGATCACTGACCGCACCCACGGTAAATTTTCTGTTGGAGTTTGAGTTTGAGTTTAACTGTTTTTATTGGTGTATTTATTGTGGGATTTCAACTTTCTTTCTAGTTCACTAAGTTAATGTTCTTTAATGATTAACTTAAGGGGGTTTTGAATAATATTCAGTAAATTAATAATCTTTAGTTATTAATTAAGCATTAGATATTTGGGGAACCCATTTCAATTTATATTTCAATTAGTTTTTCTTTAATAAATACTGCTGAAGTTATATTGATGCTACTATTGTTGATTATTATAGATATGTTTTCCATGCAGACATGAGCATTTTTCTGATTATTATAGATATGTTTTCCTTTTGTCATTATGAATTATTCTCACTCACTTCAATTAATAATTGGATATCAAATGTTTAAATTCAGATATCAAATGAATAGATACTTTCAACGAAAAAGGAACGTAGATAGTGTTGATGAGGGGGCATCGAATAATGTGGATGTTGATGAGGGGGCATCGAATAATGTGGAGTTTGATGTCACAAAACTTCCAACTGATCCTGGTCTAAGGATACCAATTTTGGATTACAATGCTAACATCCGAGATGAAGTTCGAAGAGCATATATGTTAAAGGGTCCTTGTCAGCCCCAAGATCATGACTTTCCAAAACGACAATTTGGAGTAACAATTAGACGATTCAATCCTTCGTGGTTTAAAGAGTTCGGTAGTTGGTTGGAGTACAGTGTAGAGAAGGATGCTGCTTATTGTTTGTATAGTTATCTTTTCAGAACAAGTTCTGGAAAGCAAGGTGGAGGTGAGTCTTTTGTTGGCGAAGGTTTTACATATTGGAAAGATAAAAAAAGGCTTCATACTCATGTTGGACTTCATGATAGTGCACATAATCAAGCTCGCATTAAGTGTGAAGTGTTGATGAATCAAGAGCAACACATTCAATCAGTTTTCTACAAACAGTCAGAACAAACAAGAAATGCATATGTTACACGCCTTAATGCATCCATTGATTGTGTTTGAGTTCTTTTGCGACAAGGGCACTCATTTCGAGGTCATGATGAATCTGAGGATTCTTCCAATCCAGGTAACTTCTTAGTGCAATTGCAATTTTTGGCTGCTCATAATGAAGCTTTCAATGCCATCACATTGGGAAATGCTCCTCACAATTGCAAATTGACATCACCTGATGTTCAAAAGGACATAGTAAATGCTTGTGCTATTGAAACAATCAATGTTATTATCAAAGATGTTGGCGAGTCACTATTTTCTATTCTAGTTGATGAATCTTGTGATGTGTCAATGAAGGAGCAAATGTCTATTGTTTTACGTTATGTAGACAATGGTGGGCATGTCAATGAACGCTTCATAGGGATTGAACATGTTACAAGTACCACGGCTCTATCACTTAAGGCTGCAATTGATAAGGTATTTTTTAGATATAACTTGAGTATGTCTAGATTGAGAGGACAAGGTTATGATGGAGCAAGTAATATGCAAGGTAAGTTTAATGGTCTGAAAACACTTATTTTGAAGGAGAGTCCATGTGCCTTTTACATTCACTGTTTTGCTCATCAACTCCAACTTGCGCTTGTGGCTGTGGCAAAGAAGAACATCCCTATTACTAATTTCTTTCGTGTGGTTGGGAACGTGATAAATACTGTTGGAGCATCTTCCAAGCGTTGTGATCTTCTTCGAGAAAAACAATTAGACTTTATTGTTGAGGCATTGGAAAAAGGTGAGATTTTAAGTGGACGGGGACTAAATCAAGAAACGACCCTTCAGCGCTCTGGTGATACACGATGGAGTTCACATTATAATTCTTTGGTCAGCTTGCTTGCCATGTTCTCTTCTGTTTTAGATGTACTTGCAATGATTGTTGAAGATGAATCTTGTTCTTGTAATCAAAGATCTGATGCAACAAATTTATTGGAGTTGATACAAAGATTTGATTTTGCATTTAATCTACAGTTGATGAAAAGTGTGTTGGCGATGTCAAATGAACTGTCAAAGGCATTGCAAAGAAAAGATCAAGATATTGTGAATGCAATGCAATTGGTGAGATTGTGCAAACGAAGACTCTAAATAATGAGAGACGAAGGGTGGGACTCCTTTTTTGAAGAAGTATGTTCTTTTTGTCAACAACATTACATTCATGTACCCAACATGGATGATATGTTTGTACGCCTTGCAATTCGTGGTCGCCCTCAGCGTAATTCTCCAGAAATTACAAATTTACATCATTATCGAGTAGATTTGTTCTACTCTGTCATCAATTTACAACTTCAAGAATTGAATGATCGTTTCTCGGAGGTAAACACAGAGTTACTCCTTTGTGTAGCTTGTTTATGCCCACAAGATTCATTTTCGTCTTTTGACAAGAAAAGCTTAATTAGACTTGCTGGGCTTTATCCATTAGATTTCTCTGCAGTAGATGTCATTGTACTTAGCGATCAACTTGAGACTTATATTTTGGACATGTGCTCTAGCAAAGAGTTTGAAGGGTTAAATGGCCTTGGTGATCTTGTGGAGAAGTTGGTTTTGACAAAGAAAGATAAGGTATATCCATTGGTTTACAGACTTTTGACTTTAGCATTGATTTTACCGGTTGCTACCGCTACTGTGGAGAGAGTTTTTTCTGCAATGAACATCGTAAAGAATAGATTGCGCAATCGGATGGGTGATCAGTGGATGAATGATAGCACTATTGTTTATGTAGAGAGAGATATATTTTTGAAACTCGATAATGAAGTTATTGTACGACGATATCAAAATATGAAAACTCGCAAGGAACAAGTTTAATATATAAATTATGTCATTTTTAGTGTTGTTGTAATATTGTTTTAATTTTTTATCATCATTAAATCTATGACCAAAACCTCGAAGTTCGGCGTCGAAAAATGATGCCCGCACTGAACATAAATCCTGGCTCCGGCCCTGCATATGCCAATGGAGTTTTAATTTAGGTCAATTCAATAATAAGCAGCCCAATAATAATCAATCCCTAGGAATGAAAATCCGAAAACTATACTTTATTAGAAACTTCCGAAATATAATTCCAACACCGTTTTAAAAATGAAAAAAAAGCAATACCAGGCAAACAATTTTGCTACCATTTTTTGTTAATGTGGTGGATATTCGAACTCTAATGTGTTCGTTTAGATGTTGGCAGCCATTGAGTTTTCTCATTCACACTTGCAATTTCATCTCTTTAGTCTTTAGTTAACAAGCAAAGACCTGCTAAATTATGTTCACTGCTTTGGTAAAGGGGCCAAACTCAGAACATACTTTCCTGCCATTGCTCCACTTATAGGTCAACAGCTTTGGTCAAACCCCGTGTGACATCCTTTAGCTTAGCAATGTAAACAAATGTTGGAGAGCACGAAGAAGGTAAGGATGAGCAAACCAAACAAACAAATGGCGTGGTCAAGAAAGCAAGGGAATATTGCAAATATTGGAATTGTGGGAAACATGGAATCCGTCCATAAGGACTGATTATGCAAGCAAGTGATAGGTATGGGATCTCGTCAACAAAAATGAAACATTAGGGACCAATTACACACAAGGGACAATGATTAGGGACTAAATGCGCCAATTACCCTGACCATTGCACATTTGCGCATTTATTTGCACATCAAGTCCTTGTGTGTTGGCTCAATTTCATTTTATGGTGGACATGTTTTTTCTATGTATTGACACCACATTTTCTTAGAAGTTTTCCCCATATTATAGTTGCATTAAATGTTTCTAACATTTACTTATTATCACATTTATATCCCCAACTTTATTTTAATCTCATTCTTTAATCTACAATATTTCCTTAATCAGTACATCTTGGCTTTGAAAACCGTTTGCGTCCAAAAATTTTGTTAAGATAGCATAAAAGAATTAATAGTCCTTCATTTCTAAATAAGTACAAAATAAATACAAAAGTACAACTAATATTTGCTTTATTACTTTAAAACAAACTAACGGGATATTTGGATGAAAATGTCAATGAAAACAAAATATATTAATTAATGGAAGTGTTACAATAAGTAAAAAATACAAGAACTTTTAATACAATTAAAACATGGTGTGAATATAATTATTCTTTTTTTAATACATCACTGGTTTAAAAGTATTACTTATTTCGTTAAATATAAATTTTTAAAATTACTTATCTTTACAAATAAAATTTAGTTTTAAAAAAAATGATAATTGCAAGTTCTACGATATTGATTTGTTAAAAGTATCTTAGTTACATATACTGTTTTATGGCCTTTAATTTTCATCTCATGGAGGTTAAATTGTCAATAAATTTAAGTTGTTGACCTCCTCCATTTCAAAAGTTCAATAAAGTAATTAAAATTGGTTTTGCGTTGAGTTTAAAGTTCATTACGTCACAACAGGGCACTCAAATTAGTTTAATCCGGCTCAGTACAACTTCCATCATGGCTCGACTTATCTTCGAAAGGAAGGAACTGTCACCATCATTTGGGAAATATCATCATTACACGCTGATTTCCCTCACTCCAAAATCGACATGACATTTAGCTAATCCAATCATTTAGGGACACATGGCAAACATAATGTGGCACCTCCAATTGTGGCCAATCACAACTTTGCAATGATTGCTACCTAGTTCAGCTCCAACATGGCACATGGGAAACGACCTCAACACTCAATCAAAATCAAGATTGATGGCACACATCTTAAGACAAGCACTGTCGCTAATTTGATATAACGCTAACCAATTTGCCTATTCCCTACTATAAATGGGGATATAATGGTCTCACATAGTGATCGAACTTGACCATTGCATGAAACTCAATTCCAACTCTTTCCATTTATTGCGAAAACACTCTTTTCTTATTTTTTTTTAGCAATATTTTACTATTTTAGCTAAATTTACACATTTCAGCTCAAATTACCTCTTCTAAATCATCAATTAAGCTGACAAAAAGTGGCCTAGTCATTTTTTGATGCCAACAGTTCGGACCTTGTAAGCAACAATCCCATATCTTTCATAAACATTCTCAGTATCCTACCTAAAAAATCACTATCAGCAACAATTCCACCTCTAGAAATCCAGCTCGAACTAACTCTCGCGTCACAAATATGCCTCACAAATTCCAAAGGAAAAATGATTCTACCGAAAACATTAAACCTTAGCTCGCTGCAATGAGGGAAGAAATAGAACATCTGACTAACATAGATAGCATAATGGAAAGAAACCAGGTCCACAACTCTAATTGATAATGAGCCTCCAATTGATACAAAGGTGGAATCTCCAACTCGAGAACGAACTGGCAGATCTCCCACTAGGAGAAGTCTTAACTTCTCAGGTGAAGAGTTGTCTGGGAGTAGGATGAATGAGGTAAGAAATAGTCCTCCAACAAGGACTCACAAAAAAGCTGGAAGGGTTTTCGATAGAATGGGCTCCCAACGATCACCATCACCTAAAAGCAGGAGAATCAATCCCCTCAAACGAGATAGCTCAAAAAATGAATGACATGAGATGAACCTACTAAAAAAAGCATAGCCAACGTGGAGGCCAAACGCAAGAGTTCCTTTGATGAGTACTTTACTGGTCGCCATTCCCTTTTCACAAAAGAAATATTAGCTGAGCCATTGTTTAAAAAGTTAAACGTGCCTCAACTCATCTGCTACGATGGGGAAGGAGAATTCCTAAGCCATCTAGACAAATACATGTCCTGGATGGAACTACAAGGATCTAGCGAAGCCATCACGTGTCTAGTTTTTCCCTTAGCATTAGGGGACAAAGCTCAAAGATAGTTTAGAAGATTGCACCAAAGGTCTATAAAAAATTGGAATGTCTTGGCTAAGGAATTCTTATCTTAGTTCATGAGCTCCAAAAACCAGAACAATGCCCAAGGAACACCTTGTAAGTATTAAACAAAGACGCATCGAATCCTTGAAAAGCTGACTTAGCAGATCCAATAAGCAATCTATGGAGGAGGAAAAAATATTGGATGATGTTGTCCTTATGGTTGTCCTTTTCGAACTAATGTAAAAAAACATGCTTGTAACATTCCGAAATTTTCTAGCAAAGATTTTTAATATTTTAAAAAAACTTTAAAAGTTTAGGGACTTAATTGAATTGATAGAATAAATATTATAGGTATTTTAATTCAAATAGTACAATAGGATTTGGTAGTGCAATTTTAAAAAATGGGATAATTGCATGTTTACCCAAGACTCAAAAGTACAATTTTATAATGAAATGAGATAATTGCATTTTTACCCTAAGGGTTAAAAGTGAAATTTTAGAAATTGTACCTTTAACCCTTATCATCCCTATAAATAGGGGATTAATGTACAAGGGGACATGCCTTTTGCTTCGAGGTATGTTCCATCTTCTTTTGTTTAGTTAATTAATTTTTTTTAAGTATTTAATTGGTTTATTTATTTATAAGAATTAAAATTCTTAATTTATGATTTTTTTTATATATAATTTTGAGGAAGATAAAATGAGAGTTAAATTTAAGATTAATGAAATCAAGGATGATGAATTATAATAGTTTTATTTCCAATTCTTAATTATATAAGTTTTAGAAATTTATAAGTTATTGCAAGAAATAACGAGTTTTATTTTATTTAGTTGGTACTATTAAAGATTATATAGAAGATGGTTTGGAGGAAAACTTAGTTAAGATAAAAAGACATTTATGAATAAGTAAAATAAATCCTATCTTTGATTCTTGAAAGGATTTTGTAAAAGAAGAATTTGTTGGATTTTGAGTAACTAATGGAGAATCATATTGATTATATACAGTTATTTTTTTCAGTACAACAAATGTTGGTTGGATAGCATGTATTTCTTTTATGTTTAGGATTATTTAAAAAAAAAAATTCTATAAGTCATTTCAAGAAATAATGAGTTTAGTTTACCTAGCTTGCATTATCAAAGATTGTGAGAAAGAGATTTGGGGAAAAGCTGGTGAAAAAAGAGAGAAATGGAGAAAAATAGTTTGAAGTAATTAAAGAATAAAAGGGTACGGATGGCTGATTTGGTATAATAGTAACTAATATTATCATGATATTGGTTGTAGAAATTGGGCCACTTATATATGTATATATGTGGACACGATAAATTTAATTGGAGAAAAAAAATTTAGCACTTGAGACTTAAACTAAAATTATTTTGATTTAGCCCCCGTTTGTTCCCCATTATTTCAAATTTTAATTGGTGAAATAATATTTTTTTTGGAGAATGTGTGATTAAAAAAGAATGAAAAGCTTTTGGTTTATGTATAATATTATGTTATGGAAGATTGCGTGGTTGAAAATAAGAGAGAAAAATAAAATTTAATTTAACGGGAGCCAAACAAGGGCTTAGTTATATAATAAGATGAGAAATAAAATGTTATAATGCATAGTGTTAAGGTTGATGTATGATGGAAATGGAGTAAATAAGAGTATGGAATGGATAAAAAATGAATTAACAGGTACACTATGTGTGCGTGTACTTGTGTGTTAAATGGAATGAATGATGGATCAAACATAAAATGAAATATAATATGGTAGTGTATTGGCTAGCTTAATTTTTACATATACTAATTTTATTTTAGAAATTATGAAATTTCTTTTATAACAATAATGAGAATCTCATTATTATTATTATTTATTGGTAGTAAACTAGTGTCAGTATTAGTATTATTACTAGGCATATTTTATTAAGTAAATTATGTTATCTTCTAGGTTTAGTTTAGGTTTGGTAATTGGGAAATAAAATGATAAATCGTGATTAATGTAGCGATTATTTTATTAATGTAGATATTGATCAAGAAAGTCGCGAAAAAGGTAAATATTGATTTTTTTCAACTACAGTACTATACATTAATATGTGAAATTATGTGTTTATACGTGTTTTTTTATGTAACATTAATTTATTTAAAAAACGTATGGATCATTACGTTTTCAAAGATACATACTTTTGTTGTCATTTGTATTGAGTTTGTGGTTGAAAATTTTGAATGTGAATCCCATTATAGATGTATCATACTATTGTGTTTGAATAAATATAGAACTTTGAGGCTCTTGACAGTCATTAAAAATATCCAACAATAGAGTATTTGGAGTTCATCACATATATACAAGCATTGTCAGAAGGTCCATTGGTGGCCTTGGGACCACGGATAGGCACTTGGAGCACTATATACTTAGGCGAGGCCTTGGTTTACATATGTTATACACTAATGTGGCATCTTGAGTCTCAATGGGCAATGATGGATGTCTTGACATTGATTTGCCCGCAAGTAATGGTCATGTTATTTTGAGCTCATACGGTACACTATAATAAGGATTCGGACCCAAATATGCTTGATATATATCATTGCATCATCATATTTACTGAACTTTATTGTTCACGTTTTATATTTTGTTTTATAGATAACTTTACGAGAAATTGAAATCATCCGGACAACCAAACGTGCCCATATTACAAAGAACTTATCAGCTATACATATTATTTATAGATGTACCCACTACAAAGTATTTATAAAGTTGTTAATGAGGATGAGGGGATTGAAACTTTTGAAGATTGTAAGGATTGTGTGATGGTGATAATTGATATCTATGACTTGATTATATGTCATTATGTAGATATTTTGATATATGAGGAGTAGACAGTAAAATAATATCATGTAAAATAGGGTGATGATACATAGTAAAATAATGTAGTGAAAATGGAATGATTTAGAAGAAGTCGATACACCGCCACATCTACCTGTTATAGGTTAGATCTAAGGAAAACTTTTGAAAATTAGCAAGCTTTTCTTTTGACTAAAAATTTTTGGATTGTCATATAGCTAACTTGATACCAGAAATATTTTGTAAAACAAGTTATCCTTTTGGTACAATATAAATTTGGCTTTATATTATTAATTTGATTTTCATGATATATTTTGATTTTACTGTGAAGTGCCTATTTGAGTTAAATACAAATTATTAAATCGTAGTATAATTTAAACACTAATAATAAAATAAAATAAAATGATAAGGATAAAAAAATAAAGGTAGAATGTCACAACGCTTCTAGTGGCCAGTCCATGAAGATGGACCTATGACCTATCATGAGTTCTTAAGTAGGATAGAAAAGCACATCCGGAGCCGAGTAGGCGACGTCAGATGAAGATGGGGAAAAAGCTGATTCCAATCATTCAGCATATCCTAAAGATAAAAAGTTTACGCTTGAACGCAGAAAAGAGAACAAGATACCGACCGACCTTGCCCTTACCTTGAAAGATTTCATCTGTACTATCCCCTTAATGCCTATTCAGAGGAGGTATTCATGTAAGTAGGAGATCAAGAAGTTTTCCACTGACCTCAACCCATTAAGAAAAAACTACCTAGAATAAATCAATAGAAGTAATGTAGGTTCGACATGACAACTAGTCAATAAACAGATAATTGTCGAGAACTAAAAGAATAGATTGAATCACTAATCAGGTAAGGTCAGCTAAGAGAATTTGTATCCAAACAGAAGGAAGCAGCTCACATTGCTCCTGCCCCACAAATAAAATACAAATTCTCTTAGCTGAGAAGCTAAAGCAAATAAAGAGATAGAGCTCAAACATTGCAAGACTGAAGAACAATTAGCAAATATATTCACAAAGGCACTACCATGAGCAAAGTTCGAAATACTACGAGAAATAACTGGAGTTACCAAAATATGCATCAAAGAGGAGTATTGATGGTTGATGTATATTTTAGGAATTTTGTAGAAGATCCTAGAATTGCTTGGCAAGAATATCCTAGAATTACTTGGCAAGGAAGAATAATAAAAAAATCAAAATTATCTAGAATTCCCTAGAGAAACTTGCGCACTAAGAAAGTTTGTGAAGTTTGTAGACATATGTAGAATTATCTAGAAGAAATCATATGTAAGCTATGGTCTATAAATAGGGCATGAGTCTCTCATTTGTATGTAAGAAAAAAAAAAGCCATTGTAAACAAAAGCCATTGTCATTCTAATAAAGTTCCTTTCTCTTACCCACTTTGTCTACTAAATTTCTTTCTATCAAAATCTTCCATATTACTAACTTCCAACAAAAAGGCAACTATTTTCTACCTCCAAAATTATCCTATACAAAACATATTAAACCATCTAATCTCATCACTACAAGAAAAAACCATCACTTCCAAATTCAAAATTGATTTTATATATTCTTCTACATTTTATCCGATGGAAATAAAGTGCCCGATCCAAAAATGATGAGCAACTCGTACCTCATTTTCATTCTGAATTTTCTACTGTCTCATTTTCTCGTAGTTGTAGCAGCTGTTTTCACCCTCCACATATTCATCAATCGAATCAGTGTTGAGAATCAGAGATTAAAATACATATTCTAACAAATTCAAAATCAATTTTATACATTCATCAACATTTTACCCGACGAAAATCTAGTGCCCGATACAAAATTGATGAGCAACTTATACCCAATTTCCATTCCGAATTTTCTCTAAAATCCTTTCCTCGAAGTAGCAGCGACAACTTATGTCCTCTACATATTCCTTATATTGAAGTAGTGTTAATAATTGGATATTAAAATACAAGTTCTAAAAAAATCAAAGCCAATTTTATACATTCTTCTACATTTTACGCGACGGAAATTGAGTTTTCGATACAAAATTGATGAGAAGCTCATACATCATTTTCAATCGGAAATTTCCCCAAACTCCTTTCGTTGTAGTTGTAGCGACTGCTTTTGTCCTCCATATACTCATCATATTGAATCAGTGTTGATAATTAGATATTCAAATTCAAATTTTAAAAAATTCAAAATCAAATTTATACATTTGTCTACATTTTACGGGATGAAAATCGAGTGTCCGATACAAAATTGATGAGCGACTCATAATTCATTTCCATTCCGAATTTTCTCCAGAATCCTTTCCTCGTAGTTGTAGCGGTTGCATTCCTCCTCTATGTACTCCTTATATTGAATCGGTGTTGATAATCAGAAATTAAAATACAAATTTCAAAAATTTCAAAAATCAATTTTATACATTTCTCTACATTTTACCTAGCAAAAATTGAGTTTCGATACAAAATTTATGAGTAACTCATACCTCATTTCCACTCCAAATTTTCTCCAGAATCCTTTCCTCATAGTTGTAGCGGTTGCTTTCATCCTCTACATATTCCTTCAATTGAATTAGTGTTGGGAATCAGAGATTAAAATACATATTCTTAAAAATTCAAAATTGATTTTATATATTCGTCTACACTTTACCCGACAGAAATCAATTGCCCGATCCAAAATTGATGAGCAACTCATACCGCATTTTGATTATGAATTTACTCATGTCTCATTTCCTCATAGTTGTTGCAGCTGCTTTCGTCCTCCGCGAATTCCTCTAATTAAATCAGTGTTGAGAATCATATATTAAAATACATATTCTAACAAATTTAAAACCAATTTTATACATTCATCTACATTTTACCGACAAAAACTGAGTGTCCGATACAAAATAGATTAGAAGCTCATACCTCATTTTTGTTCCATAATTTAACCAAACTCGTTTCCTTGTAGTTGAAGCGGCTGCTTTCGTTCTCCATATACTCCTCATACTGAATCGGTGTCGATAATCAGAGATTAAAATCCAAATTTTAAAAAATTCAAAATCAAATTTATACCTTTGTCTACATTTTACTGGAAGAAAATTGAGTGTCCGATACAAAATTGATGAGTGACTCATACCTTATTTCCATTCCGAATTTTCTCCAGAATCTTTTCCTCGTAGTTGTAGCGGTTGCATTCCTCCTCTACGTACTCCTTATATTGAATCAGTGTTGATAATCAGAGATTAAAATACAAATTTTAAAAATTTCAAAAATCAATTTTATACGTTTGTCTACATTTTACCTAACAAAAATTGAGTTTCGATACAAAATTTACGAGCAACTCATACCTTATCTCCACTCCATATTTTCTCCAGAATCCTTTCCTCATAATTGTAGCGGTTGCTTTCATTCTCTACATATTCCGTCAATTGAATTAGTATCGGGAATCAGAGATTAAAATACATATTCTTACAAATTCAAAATTGATTTTATATATTCGTCTACACTTTACCCGACAGAAATCAAGTGCCCGATCCAAAATTGATGAACAACTCATACCTCATTTTGATTATGAATTTACACATGTCTCATTTCCTCGTAGTTGTTGCAGTTCCTTTCGTCCTCCGCGTATTCCTCCAATTAAATTAGTGTTGAGAATCATAGATTAAAATACATATTCTAACAAATTTAAAATCAATTTTATACATTCATCTACATTTTACCGACAAAAGTTGAGTCTCCGATACAAAATAGATGAGAAACTCGTACCTCATTTTCATTCCGAAATTTCTCCAAACTCCTTTCCTTGTCGTTGTAGCGGTTGCTTTCGTCCTCCATATACTCCTCATATTGAATCGGTGTCGATAATCAGAGATTAAATTGCAAATTTTAAAAAAATCAAAATTAAATTTATGCCTTTGTCTACATTTTACTGGACGAAAATCGAATGTCCGATACAAAATTGATGAGCGACTCATACCTCATTTCCATTCCGAATTTTCTCCAGAATCCTTTCCTCGTAGTTGTAGCGGTTGCATTCCTCCTCTATGTACTCCTTATATTGAATCAGTGTTGATAATCAAAGATTAAAATACAAATTTGAAAAAAATTCAAAAATCAATTTTATACATTTGTTTACAATTTACCTGACTAAATTGGGTTCCGATACAAAATTTATGAGCGACTCATACCTCATTTCCACTCCAAATTTTCTCCAGAATCCTTTCCTAATAGTTGTAGCGATTGCTTTCGTCTTCTACATATTCCTTCTATTGAATCAATGTCGAGAATCAGAGATTAAAATATATATTCTTACAAATTCAAAATTAATTTTATATATTTGTCTACATTTTACCCGACATAAATCAAGTGCTCGATCCAAAATTGATGAGCAACTAATACCTCATTTTGATTATGAATTTACTCATGTCTCATTTCCTCGTAGTTGTTGCAGCTACTTTTGTCCTCCGCATATTCCTCCAATTAAATCAGTGTTGAGAATCATAGATTAAAATACATATTCTAACAAAGTTAAAATCAATTTTATACATTCATCTACATTTTACCGACAAAAACTGAGTGTCCGATACAAAATAGATGAGAAGCTCATACCTCATTTTCATTCCATAATTTCACCAAACTCATTTCCTTGTACTTGTAGTGGCTGCTTTCATCCTCCATATGGTCCTTATATTGAATCGGTGTCGCTAATTAGAGATTAAAATGCAAATTTTAAAAAATTCAAAATCAAATTTTTGCCTTTGTCTGCATTTTACTACGAAAATCGAGTGTCTGATACAAAATTGATGAACGACTCATACCTCATTTCCATTCCGAATTTTCTCCAGAATCCTTTCCTCATAGTTGTAGCCGTTGCATTCCTCCTCTATGTACTCCTTATATTGAATCAGTGTTGATAATCAGACATTAAAATACAAATTTCCAAAACTTCAAAAATCAATTTTTTACATTTGTCTACATTTACCTAACAAAAATTGAGTTTCGATTCAAAATTTATGAGCAACTCACACCTCATTTCCACTCCAAATTTTCTCCAGAATCCTTTCTACATAGTTTAGCGGTTGCTTTCATCCTCTACATATTCCTTCAATTGAATTAGTGTCGGGAATCAGATATTAAAATACATATTCTTAAAAATTCAAAATTAATTTTATATATTCGTCTACATTTTATCGACAGAAATCAAGTGCCCGATCCAAAATTGATGAGCAACCCATACCTCATTTTGATTATGAATTTACTCATGTCTCATTTCCTCGTAGTTGTTCCAGCTGCTTTCGTCCTCCGCGTATTCCTCCAATTAAATCAATGTTGAGAATCATAGACTAAAATACATATTCTAACAAATTTAAAATCAATTTTATACATTCATCTACATTTTACCGACAAAAATCGAGTGTCCGATACAAAATAGGTGAGAAACTCATACTTCATTATCGTTCCGAAATTTCTCCAAACTCCTTTCCTTGTAGTTGTAGCGGCTGCTTTCGTCCTCCATATACTCCTCATATTGAATCGGTGCCGAGAATCAGAGATTCAAATTCAAATTTTAAAAAATTCAAAATCAAATTTATACCTTTGTCTGCATTTTACTGGTCAAAAATCGAGTGTCCGATACAAAATTGATGAGCGACTCTTACCTCATTTCCATTTCGAATTTTATCCAGAATCCTTTCCTCGTAGTTGTAGCGGTTGCATTCCTCCTCTATGTACTCCTTATATTGAATCAGTGTTGATTATCAGAGATTAAAATACAAATTTCCAAAATTTCAAAAATCAATTTTTTACATTTGCCAACATTTTACCAAACAAAAATTGAGTTTCAATACAAAATTTATGAGCAACTCATAACTCATTTCCACTCCAAATTTTCTCCAGAATCCTTTCCTCATAGTTGTAGCAATTGCTTTCATCCTCTACATATTCCTTCAGTAGAATTAGTGTCGGGAATTAGAGATTAAAATACATATTTTTACAAATTCAAAATTGATTTTATATATTCGTCTATATTTTACCCGACAGAAATCAAGTGCCCGATCCAAAATTCATGAGCAACTCATACCTCATTTTGATTATGAATTTACTCATGTCTCATTTCCTCGTAGTTGTTGCAGCTGCTTTTGTCCTCTGCGTATTCCTCCAATTAAATCAGTGTTGAGAATCATATATTAAAATACATATTCTAACAAATTTAAAATCAATTTTATACATTCATCTACATTTTACCGACAAAAACTGAGTGTCTGATACAAAATAGATTTGAAGCTCATACCTCATTTTCGTTCCATAATTTAACCAAACTCGTTTCCTTATAGTTGAAGCGGCTACTTTCGTTCTCCATATACTCCGCATACTGAATCGCTGTCGATAATCAGAGATTAAAATGCAAAATTTTAAAAAATTCAAAATCAAATTTATACCTTTGTCTATATTTTACTGGAAGAAAATCGAGTGTTCGATACAAAATTGATGAGTGACTCATACCTCATTTCCATTCCAAATTTTCTCCAGAATCTTTTCCTCGTAGTTGTAGCAGTTACATTCCTCCTCTATGTACTCCTTATATTGAATTAGTGATGATAATCAGATATTAAAATACAAATTTTAAAAATTTCAAAAATCAATTTTATACATTTGTCTACATTTTACCTAGCAAAAATTGAGTTTCGATACAAAATTTATGAGCAACTCATACCATATCTCCACGCCATATTTTCTCCAGAATCCTTTCCTCATAATTGTAGCGGTTGCTTTCATCCTCTACATATTTCATCAATTGAATTAGTATCGGGAATCAGATATTAAAATACATATTCTTACAAATTCAAAATTGATTTTATATATTCATCTACATTTTACCCGACAGAAATCAAGTGCCCGATCCAAAATTGATGAGCAACTCATACCTCATTTTGATTACGAATTTACTCATGTCTTATTTCCTCGTAGTTGTTGCAGCTGCTTTCGTCCTTCGCGTATTCCTCCAATTAAATCAGTGTTGAGAATCATATATTAAAATACATATTCTAACAAATTTAAAATCAATTTTATACATTCATCTACATTTTACCGACAAAAATCGAGTGTCCGATACAAAATAGATGAGAAACTCATACCTCATTTTCATTCCGAAATTTCTCCAAACTCCTTTCCTTGTAGTTGTAGCGGCTGCTTTCGTCCTCCATATACTCCTCATTTGAATCGGTATCGATAATCAGAGATTAAAATGCAAATTTTAAAAAATTCAAAATCAAATTTATACCTTTGTCTCCATTTTACTGGACGAAAATCTAGTGTCCGATACAAAATTGATGAGCGACTCTTACCTCATTTCCATTCTGAATTTTCTCCAGAATCCTTTCCTCATAGTTGTAGCCGTTGCATTCCTCCTCTATGTACTCCTTATATTGAATCAGTGTTGATAATCAGACATTAAAATACGAATTTCCAAAACTTCAAAAATCAATTTTTTACATTTGTCTACATTTACCTAACAAAAATTGAGTTTCGATACAAAATTTATGAGCAACTCATACCTCATTTCCACTCCAAATTTTCTCCAGAATCCTTTCCACATAGTTTAGCGGTTGCTTTCATCCTCTACATATTCCTTCAATTGAATTAGTGTCGGGAATCAGAGATTAAAATACATATTCTTACAAATTCAAAATTGATTTGATATATTCGTCTACATTTTACTGACAGAAATCAAGTGTCCGATCCAAAATTGATGAGCAACTCATACCTCATTTTGATTATGAATTTACTCGTGTCTCATTTCCTCGTAGTTGTTGCAGCTGCTTTTGTCCTCCGCGTATTCCTCCAATTAAATCAGTGTTGAGAATCATAGACTAAAATACATATTCTAACAAATTTAAAATCAATTTTATACATTCATCTACATTTTACCGACAAAAATCGAGTGTCTGATACAAAATAGATGAGAAACTCATACTTCATTTTCACTCCGAAATTTCTCCAAACTCACTTCCTTGTAGTTGTAGCGGTTCCTTTCGTCCACCATATACTCCTCATATTGAATCGGTGCCGATAATCAGAGATTAAAATGCAAATTTTAAAAAATTCAAAATCAAATTTATACCATTGTCTGCATTTTACTGGTCGAAAATCGAGTGTCCGATACAAATTTAAGAGCAACTCTTACCTCATTTCCATTCCAAATTTTATCCAGAATCCATTCCTCGTAGTTGTAGCCGTTGCATTCCGCCTCTATGTACTCCTTATATTGAATCAGTGTTGATAATCAGACATTAAAATACAAATTTTCAAAACTTCAAAAATCAATTTTTTACATTTGTCTACATTTACCTAACAAAAATTGAGTTTCGATACAAAATTTATGAGCAACTCACACCTCATTTCCACTCCAAATTTTCTCTAGAATCCTTTCCACATAGTTTAGCGGTTGCTTTCATCCTCTACATATTCCTTCAATTGAATTAGTGTCGGGAATCAGAGGTTAAAATACATATTCTTACAAATTCAAAATTGATTTGATATATTCGTCTACATTTTACCGACAGAAATCAGGTGCCCGATCCAAAATTTATGAGCAACTCATACCTCATTTTGATTTTGAATTTACTCATGTCTCATTTCCTTGTAGTTGTTGCAGCTGCTTTCGTCCTCCGCGTATTCCTCCAATTAAATCAGTGTTGACAATCATAGACTAAAATACATATTCTAACAAATTTAAAATCAATTCTATACATTCATCTAAATTTTACCGACAAAAATCGAGTGTCCGATACAAAATAGATGAGAAACTCATACTTCATTTTCACTCCGAAATTTCTCCAAACTCCCTTCCTTGTAGTTGTAGCGGCTGCTTTCGTCCTCCATATACTCCTCATATTGAATCGGTGTCGATAATCAGAGATTAAAATGCAAATTTTAAAAATTCAAAATCAAATTTATACCTTTGTCTGCATTTTACTGGACGAAAATCGAGAGTCCGATACAAAATTGATGAGCGACTAATTCCTCATTTCCATGCCGAATTTTCTCCAGATATTTTCCTCGCAGTTGTAGCGGTTGCATTCCTCCTCTATGTACTTTTTTTATTGAATCAGTGTTGATAATCAAAGATTAAAATACAAATTTCAAAAATTTCAAAAATCAATTTTATACATTTGTCTACATTTTACCTTGCGAAAATTGAGTTTCGATACAAAATTTATGAGCAACTCATACCTCATTTCCACTCTAGATTTTCTCCAGAATCCTTTCCTCATAGTTGTAGCGGTTGTTTTCATCCTCTACATATTCCTTCAATTGAATTAGTGTCGGGAATCAGAGATTAAAATACATATTCATACAAATTCAAAATTGATTTGATATATTCGTCTACATTTTACCGACAGAAATCAAGTGCCCGATCCAAAATTGATGAGCAACTCATACCTCATTTTGATTACGAATTTACTTATGTCTCATTTCCTCGTAGTTGTTGCAGCTGCTTTCGTCCTCCGCGTATTCCTCCAATTAAATCGGTATTAAGAATCATAGACTAAAATAGATATTCTAACAAATTTAAAATAAATTTTATACATTCATCTACATTTTACCGACAAAAATCGAGTGTCCGATACAAAATAGATGAGAAACTCATACTTCATTTCCATTCCGAAATTTCTCCAAACTTCTTTCCTTGTAGTTGTAGCGGCTGCTTTCGTACTCCATATACTCCTCATATTGAATCGGTGTCGATAATTAGAGATTAAAATGCAAATATTAAAATATTCAAAATCAAATTTATACCTTTGTCTGCATTTTACTGGTCAAAAATCGAGTGTTCGATACAAAATTGATGAGCGACTCTTACCTCATTTCCATTCCGAATTTTATCTAGAATCCTTTCCCTGTAGTTGTAGCGGTTGCATTCCTCCTCTATGTACTCATTATATTGAATCAGTGTTTATTATCAGAGATTAAAATAGAAATTTCAAAAATTTTAAAAATCAATTTTTCACATTTGCCAACATTTTACCAAACAAAAATTCAGTTTTGATACAAAATTTATGAGCAACTCATACCTCATTTCCACTCCGAGTTTTCTCCAAAACCCTTTCCTCATAGTTGTAGCGGTTGCTTTCATCCTCTACATATTCCTTCAGTAGAATTAGTGTCGGGAATTAGAGATTAAAATACATTTTTTTACAAATTCAAAATTGATTTTATATATTCATCTACATTTTACCCGACAGAAATCAAGTGCCCGATCCAAAATTGATGAGCAACTCATACCTCATTTTGATTGTGAATTTACTCATGTCTCATTTCCTCGTAGTTGTTGCAGCTGCTTTCGTCCTCCGCGTATTCCTCCAATTAAATCAGTGTTGAGAATCATATATTAAAATACATATTCTAACAAATTTAAAATTAATTTTATACATCCATCTACATTTTACCGACAAAAATCGAGTGTCCGATACAAAATAGAATAGAAACTCATACCTCATTTTCATTCCGAAATTTCTCCAAACTCCTTTCCTTGTAGTTGTAGCGGCTGCTTTCGTCCTCCATATACTCCTCATTTGAATCGGTATCGATAATCAGAGATTAAAATGCAAATTTTAAAAAATTCAAAATCAAATTTATACCTTTGTCTGCATTTTACTGGACGAAAATCGAGTGTCCGAAACAAAATTGATGAGCAACTCTTACCTCATTTCCTTTCCGAATTTTATCCAGAATCCTTTCCTCGTAGTTGTAGCCGTTGTATTCCTCCTCTATGTACTCCTTATATTGAATCGGTGTTGATAATCAGACATTAAAATACAAATTTCCAAAACTTCAAATATCAATTTTTTATATTTGTCTACATTTACCTAACAAAAATTGAGTTTCGATACAAAATTTATGAGCTACTAACACCTCATTTCCACTCCAAATTTTCTCCAGAATCCTTTCCACATAGTTTAGCGGTTGCTTTCATCCTCTACATATTCCTTCAATTGAATTAGTGTCGGGAATCAGAGATTAAAATACATATTCTTACAAATTCAAAATTATTTTGATATATTCGTCTACATTTTACCGACAGGAATCAAGTGCCCGATCCAAAATTGATGAGCAACTCATACCTCATTCTGATTGTGAATTTACTCATTTCTCATTTCCTCGTAGTTGTTGCAGCTGCTTTCGTCCTCCGCGTATTCCTCCAATTAAATCAGTGTTGAGAATCTTATATTAAAATACATATTCTAACAAATTTAAAATCAATATTATACATTCATCTACATTTTACCGACAAAAATCGAGTGTCCGATACAAAATAGATGAGAAACTCATACTTCATTTCCATTCCGAAATTTCTCCAAACTTCTTTCCTTGTAGTTGTAGCGGCTGCTTTCGTCCTCCATATACTCCTCGTTTGAATCGGTATCGATAATCAGAGATTAAAATGCAAATTTTAAAAAATTCAAAATCGAATTTATACCTTTGTCTGCATTTTACAGGACGAAAATCGAGTGTTCGATACAAAATTGAAGAGCGACTCTTACCTCATTTCCATTCCGAATTTTCTCCAGAATCCTTTCCTCGTAGTTGTAGCTGTTGCATTCCTCAACTATGTACTCCTTATATTGAATCAGTGTTGATAATTAGACATTAAAATACAAATTTCCAAAACTTCAAAAAATCAATTTTTTACATTTGTCTACATTTACCTAACAAAAATTTAGTTTCGATACAAAATTTATGAGCAACTCACACCTCATTTCCACTCCAAATTTTCTCCAGAATCCTTTCCACATAGTTTAGCGGTTGCTTTAATCCTCTACATATTCCTTCAATTGAATTAGTGTCAAGAATCAGAGATTAAAATACATATTCTTACAAATTCAAAATTGATGAGCAACTCATACCTCATTTTGATTATGAATTTCCACATTTCTTTTCTTTCCCTTTTAGTTGTTGTAGTTGCTTTCGTCCTCCGCGTATTCCTCCAATTAAATCAGTGTTGAGAATCATAGACTAAAATACATATTCTAACAAATTTAAAATCAATTTCATACATTCATCTACATTTTACCGACAAAAATCGAGTGTCCGATACAAAATAGATGAGAAACTCATACTTCATTTTCATTCCGAAATTTCTCCAAACTCCTTTCCTTGTAGTTGTAGTGGCTGCTTTCGTCCTTCATATACTCCTCATTTGAATCGGTATCGATAATCAGAGATTAAAATGCAAATTTTAAAATATTCAAAATCGAATTTATACCTTTGTTTGCATTTTACTGGACGAAAATCGAGTGTTCGATACAAAATTGATGAGCGACTCTTACCTCATTTCCATTCCGAATTTTCTCCAGAATCCTTTCCTCGTAGTTGTAGCCGTTGCATTCCTCCTCTATGTACTCCTTATATTGTATCAGTGTTGATAATCAGACATTAAAATACAAATTTCCAAAACTACAAAAATCAATTTTTTACATTTGTCTACATTTACCTAACAAAAATTTAGTTTCGATACAAAATTTATGAGCAACTCACACCTCATTTCCACTCCAAATTTTCTCCAGAATCCTTTCCACATAGTTTAGCGGTTGCTTTAATCCTCTACATATTCCTTCAATTGAATTAGTGTAAAGAATCAGAGATTAAAATACATATTCTTAAAAATTCAAAATTGATGAGCAACTCATACCACATTTTGATTATGAATTTTCACATGTCTCATTTCCTTGTAGTTGTTGTAGCTGCTTTCGTCCTCCGCGTATTCCTCCAATTAAATCAGTGTTGAGAATCATAGACTAAAATACATATTCTAACAAATTTAAAATCAATTTTATACATTCATCAACATTTTACCGACAAAAATCGAGTGTCCGATACAAAATAGATGAGAAACTCATACTTCATTTCCATTCCGAAATTTCTCCAAACTTCTTTCCTTGTAGTTGTAGCGGCTGCTTTCGTCCTCCATATACTCCTCATTTGAATCGGTATCGATAATCAGAGATTAAAATGCAAATTTTAAAAAATTCAAAATCGAATTTATACCTTTGTCTACATTTTACTGGACGAAAATCGAGTGTTCGATACAAAATTGATGAGCGACTCATTCCTCATTTCCATTCCGAATTTTCTCCAGAATCTTTTCTTCGTAGTTGTAGCGGTTGTATCCCTCCTCTACGTACTCCTTATATTGAATCAATGTTGATAATCAGAGATTAAAATACAAATTTCAAAAATTTCAAAAATCAATATTATACAATTGTCTACATTAAACCTAGCGAAAATTGAGTTTCGATACAAAATTTATGAGCAACTCATAACTCATTTCCATTCTAGATTTTCTCCAGAATCCTCTCCTCGTAGTTGAAGCGGTTGCTTTCATTCTCTACATATTCCTTCAATTGAATTAGTGTCGGGAATCAGAGATTAAAATACCTATTCTTACAAATTCAAAATTGATTTTATATATTCGTCTACCTTTTACCCGACAGAAATCAAGTGCCCGATCCAAAATTGATGAGCAACTCATACCTCATTTTGATTATGAATTTACTCATATCTCATTTCCTCGTAGTTGTTGTAGCTGCTTTCGTCCTCCGCGTATTCCTCCAATTAAATCAGTGTTGACAATCATAGACTAAAATACATATTCTAACAAATTTAAAATCAATTTTATACATTCATCTACATTTTACCGACAAAAATCGAGTGTCCGATACAAAATAGATGAGAAACTCATACCACATTTTCATTCCGAAATTTCTCCAAACTCCTTTCCTTGTAGTTGTAGCGGCTGCTTTCATCGTCCATGTACTCCTCATATTGAATCGGTGTCGATAATCAGAGATTAAAATGCAAATTTTAAAAAATTCAAAATCAAATTTATATCTTTGTTTGCATTTTACTCGTCGAAAATCGAGTGTCCGATACTAAATTGATGAGTGACACTTACCTCATTTTCATTCCGAATTTTATCCAGAATCCTTTCCTCGTAGTTGTAGCGGTTGCATTCCTCCTCTATGTACTCCTTATATTAAATCAGTGTTGATTATCAGAGATTAAAATACAAATTTCCAAAATTTCAAAAATCAATTTTTTACATTTGCCTACATTTTACCAAACAAAAATTGAGTTTCGATACAAAATTTATGGGCAACTCATACCTCATTTCCACTCTAAGTTTTCTCCAGAATCCTTTCCTCATAGTTGTAGCGGTTGCTTTCATCCTCTACATATTCCTTCAGTTGAATTAGTGTCGGGAATTAGAGATTAAAATACATATTTTTACAAATTCAAAATTGATTTTATATATTCGTCTGCATTTTACCCGACAGAAATCAAGTGCCCGATCCAAAATTGATGAGCAACTCATACCTAATTTTGATTATGAATTTACTCATGTCTCATTTCCTCGTAGTTGTTACAGCTGCTTTCGTCCTCCGCGTATTCCTCCAATTAAATCAGTGTTGAGAATC